GTTTTTGTGTCTTCTCTCTCTTGTTCTCAACAAAGATCTTTTGTATGGCCAAGAAGAGAAAGGAGCGGCCGTCTTCTCAACAACATGAATTTTCTCCCTTAAGGTATTGAAGCTGAAGAGATGTTTATAAACTGTTAACATTTAACATTTTAACACAAGCTTATGTTTGCCAGACAGACAAGATGATGTAGCCCTGACGCTGCTGCCAGTACTCCTCCCTACTTACACATTTGGGAGTAGAGTTTCAGACCCATCAACCTGGAAGTTCAGAAGGTTTCATTGATATCCAGCCTGTAAGTCAACATTCATCTCTGAATCATGCTGAAATCGTTTAAATAATTGTGAGGTTTTGTGTTAAACTACAATCAGTCAGAAATTAGTTTTTGAGAATGTAGCCCTTTACCTTTAAATTCACTAACGGCCTGTTTTTGTGCTTCTCTCTCTTGTTCTCAAAGAAGATCTTTTGTATGGCCAAGAAGAGAAAGGAGCGGCCATCTTCTCAACAACATGAATTTTCTCCCTTAAGGTATAGAAGCTCAAGAGATGTTCTCTAAACTGTTAACATTTAACATTTTAACACAAGCTTATGTTTGCCAGACAGACAAGATGATGTAGCCCTGCAGCTGCTGCCAGTGCTCCTCCCTACTTACACATTTGGGAGAAGAGTTTCAGATCCATCAACCTGGAAGTTCAGAGGGTTTCATTGATATCCAGCCTGTAAGTCAACATTCATCTCTGAATCATGCTCAAATTGTTTGCTGTTTATATAAGTTCATCACTAATGGCCTGTTATTTTCTGTCTTCTCTCCATCAGGTTGGGACAAACCTGGTGGTGCATCTACAAAATGTGACAACCCGTATGTCCTCATGCAGGGAAACAGGCAAAAATGCTAAAGTGTCGTTAAAAATGCTCCTTGTTTAATGGCTGAAAGTTTTACTTGTAGTTTGCTATAAAATAGACTTTTTACATGAAATGTTTTCTAATGTGTAGTAACAGATACTTCTGGAGTTGTAACCAAATGAGTTGAAGTGATTTAACTATATACTTTTGAAACAACTTATGTTTTGTAATTTTTGTAAATAAAATCTGCTGGGTCTATATATGTATCATGTGGAAATAAAAGAAGCTTTAAATTCAGATTGTTTTTAATCCTGTTTTTATATAGTGCAATTTAAAATTAAATCTTTTTTTTAACCCAACTATAGTGGTATAACCCTTATGGTGGGTTATGAGTTTCAACCCAATTTTGGGTCAATTTAACCAATTTAACTAAGTCAATTTACCCAACCTAAAGCCAGGAACTCCTGCTGTTTTACGGCTTTTCACAGATGAGTGTGAAAAGCTAGAACTTCTCCTTATTGTTTTCCCACACAGACAAAAGGCAGTTCAAAAGATCTTAGCAAACCATCTGCTGTAACTACAGGTAACATAAAGGTCAATAGGCCAGAATAAGTTACTGATTTTAAAACTATAATTAGGTTATTTCAATCAAGACATGTTAAGTTTTAAAACTAGCATATTTTAAATTTATTTTCTTAACAGTACTTCTCTAATATAAGGCTCACAACTGAACTGTTGACAAACTCAATGGATTTTAACTTCAGGTATATAAGTTAAATTAAAATACTATCAGGTGCAAAATTGTGACAATACCCACAATAAGACGCTTGTTAAACCACATTAACATTTTTGAGGTTTAACTTAGGCATTTTACACACGTAGCTAGGTTTAGATAAAAACAAATATATCTGCCACATTCTTTTAAAAAATGTATACACACAGGATTGGTTTAGAAAAATAGTTCTTCCACACAAACCCACTGAATTACACCTCTGAGCGTTGTTTAACATGCCAAATCCATAGGGGGAAGTGTAGGGCACAGCTAAAATGTCAACCAATCCTTCAAAACAATGACAACTTCCTTTTAGGAATTAAACATGGCGCCAAGAGATTAATTTGTGTGGATAGGCAAATAAGTTAGACTACATAGGCAAATAAGTTGGACTACTTTTACATACCACGTTAGAGAATAAAATTAATAAAACACAAGACGATGTCGACTGGGAATCTTGTCAAAGCAAGTCCATGTGCGCTCTTTCTCCTTTACAACTCAATGTATTGGAGAAGATGGGTTTGTAAAAATCAAATAAGTAAAACGCATTTGAACCAAAAATTAGTATCTAACAATGGTCAAGTCTCAGACTAGAGGGACTCTAAATCTCCAGTTTCCAATGTCCACATGCAAATAAGGAGAATTCTCAAATCGTCACTTAGGTGGGAGTTTTTATTAATAATAATTTTTTGTCATACTAAATGAAGTTTACATATGGATGAAAAGTGAAATAGCATAAAAACCTATTCATTTTTTTATTGGGCGTGAATCAGGCCTTTTTTTTTATGATTGTAAAAATTCACTTTCAGCAGAGCAGCTTCTTTCCCCAACTTTGAGTGTGCAACGTTACAACCAATGCAGGTGTGAAACAATTTTAGAATAAAATGTTTAGACACTACACATTCATACTTTACCCCGTTTTCCTCTGCTCACATCACATTAGCCAGTCCTTTTTTTCTTCTCTTTCACGTCCCTCGGTGTCCACCTGTCCTGTCTCCGTCTTTATACCTTGCTCCTGCTTGTGGGTGATCAGGTAGACAGCGGTCATTCCAGCAGTTGGTCTAAATATCATCGGATCACCGAGGGTAATGTGTTTGGTGGGGAGAAGCTGCCCTTCGTTGTTGGTGCATTGTTGTGTGCGTGCCTTGTTTCCTGTATAAGCACCAGTGTGTGGGCAGGTAGCAGCAGTGTGAAGTATGCTGATGGTATTGAAAGCAGAAGGACTAGGAAAGAGGTGGAGAGGAGGTCAAGTAGACCACAGTGAAACGCACACGCCCTCATGCAGATACAAAAGGATAATCATACTGAAGATGTGTAGAACAGCTTGTATTAGTACTTTTCCACATATGAGCACACCCACCCACGTCGAGATGTGCACCTATACTGTGCAACCTGCTGACTTAGAGGACAACGTATATTAAGTCAGGCATGAGTAATAACACTGCAAAAAAGCTGTTTTTCACACTGGCACCTGGGCATGTGGGTACGTTCACATCCAATGGTTTCCCACCTTTTTAATTTCTGACGAAGCAACACGAGCGGAGACCCCAGGCTCATAATAAGACAATGGTTAAAAATAGAAGCTCTGCGTATGCACAAAGCCCAGATGCTTGGCTTCTAGAAAATGCAAATATTGTCATGGGCCCATGCTGTAATGCATGGAGTGTCTCTTTTCTTCTTAAACAGCAGAAATATTTTAAAGGTAAATAAAACTTTAAAATATAAATATATATATTTTGCATTCAGCTGCTCATACACTCCTAAAAGGGATCTTGAACAAAGCCTGTATTTGTACATTTGAAGTGCATCTTCTGTTCATTCTTGGCACCATTTGCAATACAGCTGAAACTGAACTTGAACACATCGAGCCATTTTTGTTAGCTTGTGTCAGCATTTGTAGTGTCATGGTTGTGTTGCATGCCACCCAGGGCACCTGAGGCATTCTGGAAAATTCTTCAGCATCAAAGGGAAGTGAGTCTGTGTCCATGTTCTCCTGGAGGAGCACCAAGAAGAGAACTATTTTTCCATTATTTGATGAAGAGCGAAGTTGTTACAGAGGATTTGTAAAGACCACAATCCTCTGTATCCAAGGGTATCACAGACCAATTTCTCTAACCGCCTCCACCTAAGATCAAATAAATAAAACCAAAACTTTAATAGTCATAACCTTGGCATTTTACAGCAAAAATTAAAGAAGAACATTGATTTTTAAAGAGGAGTTATTTTAGGGTAATTTTATACCCAATACTTTCCGGTAGACTCAGTTCGATTAGGGATAAAAATTGCAACATTTATTAAATTTTCAGCTGGTGCGGTTCTTTCATACTGGGCTGTGTTCAATGATCCAAACCCTTTGAAGAACATGTTCACGTCCTTACGTATGGCGTGACGAGATGAACACAGAAGAAAACGACATGGAAACCTCCGAAGAAGACACCGAGCGCAGCTTCCTCCTTCACGAATTGTCAACAAAGACAGAGTAGCATTATATTTTAACGGTTGTAGGATTTCTCTTTTGTCTTCCTATTCTTCCAAACCAGAAAAGGAATTAGACCAGAGGATATTTACTTATACTTATCTACCAATCCTGAATAGGAGTATCTAGTTTATTTACTTTGGATCATTATTATTAGCTTTTTCTTCTTTTGCTCTTTCTCTTTGTTTGTATTTCCTTTTAAATCCTGTAAAGCACTTTGTATTGCCTTGTTGCTGAAAATGTGCTATATAAATAAAACTACCTTTACCTTTAAAAGACCAGTTGCCATTTCTACAAATAGCACTAGACACATGCGTTTCTTTTGGATGCATTTACCCAGAATGCCCTGCTCTTTAGTCTACTTCCAGCTTTTGGAGCGGGTTTCGTTCTGCTTAGCATTCGCATATGCATTTGAACCGCACCAGAGTTCACTTGAACTGAACCAATACGCAGGTTTGAAAGCGGATCAAAGTTTGTTTGCACGTTGACGCGTCACCCCAAAAAACGGAGTTTCTGGGCAAACGAACTAGAGTTCAACTAAGATGTCAAGAGGTCAAGACTTGGTGCAATGCAATTTCATAAATGCAATAAAACAAAACAACATAAAAGATTCCATTAAATCATTTAATTTTAACGGTATTAATGTTGGTAGTCAGATACCATCCTACCAGACCACAGGATGCTCTGCCATAACCAACTTTTACTCTCCTTGACTCTCAGCTTGACTCGACTATTCATAAAAAAGATTGAATATATACAGAGTGGACCTGATGAAAAGGGAATCGGCAGAGTTTTAGAAGTTGATCAGTGGCTTCGCAATGAATTTATGTATATAAAACACAATCTTCCCATTTACAGCCGGAAAAACGAAATACTGACAGGCTTGTTTTAAACTTCCATTTTACATAATTTCCTCAACAATTCTTAGCAAGCGGTGCGCTCCTGAACACCTCCAGGACTCATTTTTCACTCTGTGGCATATTTACAAGTCAGTGCTCATCATATTGTAATAAAATTATAGTTCTTTCCTCTGCCCCAGATTTGCATGTGTGGGAGTGAGGGACTGGAGGGAATTGTGTCCAGGAGAGGAAAGAAACTAACCAAGTTTCTCGAGCACATAATGATGCACCTGCCCATTTAAAACCAGATGAGTACATCAAGCCATGGATGACTCTCAAACACACTTAAGACATATGCACACCCTCACATGCTGATTTCATTTTCCACATCCCTTCTTTCTTTACCTCTGCATCAATGCACTTCTCATTGGTTAATTACAAAAGCGTGTCTCTCTGTTAAACAGAGTTCATCATTCACAACTTTTCAGTTTATTTATTTTATCATGTAGCATTTCATTACTATCACTAGTGGATTGTTTGATGAGCAAGTCATTTCAAATATTACTACAAATCACTTTTAGATTCTTTTATCTTCAAATTTTTAGACATTGATTTATAGATAAGATTTTATGTAGTAACACTGCATTGATTACTGTAAAATTAGAATGGTTCTAAAGTACGCAGAAAAATCAGACTTTAATTAAAACCCCAAGGTGATTATATTATAGTAAAGCATAGATGGGACAGCGAGTGGCATAGTTTCAGGCTAGCATGACTATGGACGTGCTGTAAAGAAACACAATGTTTACACAATTTCCTCAAATTATGTGCCTCTTTCTTTTACTTCCCTTTACCATATTTTTTTATCCTTTATGTAGCATCTTTCTGTAGCAAAATTTCTTTGTTGTAACACATATAAAATAAATCAATAATACAAGTAACAGTAAGAGTAAAAGTTACAATTTTTGTGTACCCCTTCAAGAACTGTATTTTGAAAGAAAGACTGTTTTGGCTGTTAAGGAAATCCAGCCACTTGCATTGAGGTACTGACTTTGCATCAGTCGCTCTAGCCATAGCACACACCATACTAAATTATTTATTAGCGTCAAACAATCTTAATACCAAAATTCTTTTAGGTTTGACTTTAAAATAAGACAGTGTTTAGATATTTTTATGAAACATTTTCTGGT